AAATCGTTGCAGCGGCTTGCAACAGTTATTTTTGTGTGAGGGCCTCTATTTACAACATCAATGGCAGTGCACTCTGGAAGCCTGTCAAAGGACAATGAACAGAGAAGATGCAGTCTTGTTTACAACTTTATTTACAAGTGATTGATTTTCCTTTATTATTCAAGTGTAAATATCACTGGATGTCTTATTACAAATATGTTAATGAGCAGGGGTATCCATGGCGGCAATGCAATGCATGCAATGTTGAAACAGTTCCATTGCAACTTTTGGTGGCATTACCACACCACTGAAAGCTGGTATCCGCCCGATATGATGCTGGTGGCTCAAACTAGTAAAATCCTAGTTACACCACTGTAAATGGAGTAATCTATTCAGCTGCTGTATGGAGAATATACAAAGAAATGCATTGACAAACCAAAGAAATCAATTCATATACTATCAGGCAAAATGGTGCATTATCCACGATTAATTCAACATACAAACCTACCAATAGCTCTGTCTTCCAAGCTTGTCAACCGTCAGCTCAGGTGGGGATGAAGGTGTCATTTGCATGTACATTTACCTGGCTGGCATTATCAGGTGTCATTTGCATGTACCTGGCTGGCATTATCAAGTACCCTGGTGTAGGGAACTCATGGTTGTAGAGGTTGGGGCTGTCATCAGTTGGGAAAATCTGTTGGACAGAACATCTCTGGTCAAATGCAGGGGCACACAAGCTTACATGCAGTTTGTTCTTCTTGCCAACAGAAAACAGTACTGAGGTGTCAGCAAACTTGCTGCAAGCCTCTCTTGCATACTTGACTCAAGCTGAGTAATTATGGTCATTGATGTTCTCTTTCCTCCTTTCGTTATGCTTCGCAGGCACCCTGGCAGCTATGAGGCCCTTGAATCTCTTTGCAGCACTGTTCCTAAGAGATATGGTGGTTTGATCCAGCAGTGAATAGTATTTATTCCTGTCAACCAAAATAAAAATTTCGTTTGAATTGTTGAAAACATAATTGTACTTTGTTTCATGCCACCTTCCCCCCCAAAAAAGTTAGAGAAAGTTCATCTTATTTGTTTCAACTCGCTTATTTATAAATCACAGTGTGCGCAGTCAAACCTCAGTTTTTAAATGGTAACTGTGCATGTGTTACACAACAAAGCCTTTGCCACACGATGCTTGTCTTTTGAAGTAATTTTTAGCAAATATTTGACATCATAAGCTTCCTTCAGACTGAAAGCGGACAGTACCACGTAACATGATTCAATACATGTATCTGAACACTGAGTTGTGATCATGTTAATTTAATGTTTATTCAATCAACTTCAAGTTGATAAATAAATGGACCTTCATTCAAAAAATTCACACATTTGACCATACTTTGCGAGAATTACATGTACTTGAATTACATCCAACATACCTATGTTTCATTTGAGTTCCGCCAGACCAGGTGTTACTTTCAGCCAGTGCTGCTTGATACTAGTCAAAGATGTGCCACATTTCCCTGTTGTCGATCCCCAATGCCTGTGAGCCTCAAAGCCATTCTCTTCGGCTAATTTTTTTGTGGTGTCCACTATGTGGGGAAACAGTTTGGCAATGGGAGGTCTGCCTCCTTTTGCCCGGGTCTCGTCCTTGTTTGTTGTCCCTTTCCGTTTTGGAGTGTCAAATTCTGCAATAGGAAAAGTAAGCTGGGATAAAAAACATGTCAGGGTAACGGCCTGTGTATCATGAAATGATTGGATGGAAAGGAACTATTGTATGTTGATGTTCCCGATGGATCTTGTGATCAATCTCAAAGGATTTTGTAAATGTTTTGAGTTCCAGATTTCTTTACAAAATACATTGCACCAGATCATGCCAGTGCGCATCAAGTAACAGTCATGGTAATTTGAGGACACTGACAGTTGTGACTTTCGAATGAAATTAAATACACTGATACACCAAAGCTCAACAGCATGTAATGAGGGCAAGATTACCAAGTTTTTACATAACGAGTTTGGAAACACAGTGGGGAAAGTAGCATGAACGTCCACGAGAACATCACAAGCATAGGTCTGTGACGAGATAGAGATTCGTCAGCATAATATGAAATCTACTTCAGCTACACTGTATATGTACATGTATTTTAGTTACAGCATGGAGGAAGTAAAGGTTACAATTCACAGAACATGAGGTTTANGGGAAGACGCCTAATGTAGTCCATCAACTGCTTACGACCAATTATAAAATTTAATGCTAGTTTTTAAACACAACGTTTTCGGTGCTGGAAAATGTGCACCCATGAATTATTAGCCAAGTTATGCATCAAAAGTCCTTGACGTCCATATTGATTTGCCCAGGAAAATTATTCTGACATTTTATACACAAAGTTACTGGGAGGTTTTTCTGAACGATGTGTTTGTAGCCATACATTTTTTCTCACTTTGCTAAGTAAAAGATTAATGCCAAATATTATCACATCCAAATTTACCTTTTAGTGGTCTCCTTTGCTCAAATGGTCTTTCGCGAAGTTGTGCCAAACGGGCAACACCTGGGAGAAGTTCGTTTCCTTAGGAAACCATGTTCGACATGAAGTCTTGACTTGATTTGGTGTTCTTGGACGAAATTGCAAGAAAGACACTATTGTTGGTGACCAAGCGTGCTTAGCTACTGTTGCCAAACACCCAGGGCCATTTCTAAAGAGAGCTCCATTCACCATTATCAAGTGGGAGCTGAAGCGAGGCAGTATTGGGGTACTTAGAAATGGTCATACTTGTGGATATATATTCACATGGTTTGAGTTGCATTACCTGCAGGATTCATGCCATAAATATTTCCAGTTAAATTTTTTTTCTGGTTTGAAACCACTTCACACGTGTATAGACATAGCCTAAAAACATGCAATCGCAGATTATAAAAGTACCTTTTCTAGCGTAACAACACTATCATAAAATGTATATTATGATGTGCAAAAATCATTCCAAACTGTCTTCAGTTTGCATGTTCGCACAAATGAAGAATTCCTGAATCGTAACCTTTAATGTTGATACATGTAGTGGAAATGGGGGAACTTCTTTTCCGCAGAACGGTTATCAATATATTCATGAGGTCCAGAGAAATCATGCTTATTCATGATGCTTTTTGTTGCGATGGCAAAAGGGTGAACAGCCACCCCGCTCATTAAACCAGTTACGCTTCAGCGAACACCACCGTTGTGTCTGTGAATATTCCCCCTACTTAGCAAAGCCAGACCAATTGGAAAAAATGCAGACAATACACAGAAGAACGGTCAGTCAGTCAATTTAGGGATGATGCCTTAATCAAACTTATAGCCTTACTTATACCCTTATGCCTACATGTAGATGGTCCCGGAACAATGTCCTAATGATGACGTCATTGAGGGATTTATTATTGATTTTTCAACATTCATTTCATCCCATTGACTTTATACACATTTTTAAGGCAATGTTTTGGTCATTTACCTTCCTTCAGTGGTCCTCAAAGTTACAGCCAGCAAAAACCATAGGGCAAATATAACACTAAGATAATTATGTCATGATCTCGTCATCAAGTGATTTAATGTGAAATTTTGAATTTTTAAATGTGTGCTACATCTTCAAAACTCCATATAAAATGAACCATGGCCTCCACAACATTCTGTTTGCATCTATTGGCAGAATCTACATGTAATTTGGTCTTCAATTCATCTTGTGTGGGTCAAATCACGTGACCCTTCCTTCTGGTCGAAACCAGAAGTGGGCTTATTGTTTAAAAGTGATAATAGATATTGACTTGTTTTCAATGGTGTTAGTCTCTTGGGGTATTTTACTCTTCAAAACATCTACTGATGATGTCATGCAAGCCCTCTTGCGACAGGTTGAAAATTTCCCAAAATGAATTTTGAATAGATGTCTGTGGCCAAGTGTTTTGGAATCGCTAGAAAATTGGTTTGTATGATGATATTTACCCATTCATTACAGGTGAGAAGTTTGGGGCCAATGATGTCATCAGACTGGAAGTTACAATAAAAAGCCTTTTTAGTTTTAAAAATAAGGTTAAAAATCAACCATGAAAGCTGTAAGCGTGAATTGTCCATGAGATGTTAGTTAAATCATTGGAGTCAATTGCATGAAGTGCATAACTGTTGTACTTCTTTACAAGAAGCACTGCTGACAAAGATCATTTACAGTATTCGGGTACTCAAAAACCTCATTCGCATACTGTGCATTAGCTACTTTGTGCGTGGTTGTGCAATATCTACCTGTAATTAAGGCGGCGCACAATGCATGTATGTAGGGCCTACATACTCAGGAGCTAGCAAATTTCCAAGCATGTGCCGCGGAGAGTGGATCGCATTGTATAGGATGCCAAAAGGGACAAAAACCAAAAGTGTTTAATATCTGTAATCTGTGCTTTTTCCGTGATAACAATAGTTTTGTTGTTATAAAGGTCTAATTGAGGTGAATCCTTTACAATACTTTATCTCCTGAAGTGCATGTCCAATTAGGTTGGGAGTCAATTTCTTTGTTCATCTTTATCGTTCATAAGCACCTAGTCAGTTTCCCTATATGATTTGTTTCATGATTTATGTTCAAAAAGCCTTATCCTCTTTGAGTGATCCCTGTTTACCACTTCGTAGGTTGTATTAATGTGTAACTGGGGTGTAATCCCTGGTTGCATGGTGTTTCAGGTTTAATGGCTTCTGGCTAACACCCACCAACATCGGGCTGGGTAGCTCAGTTGGTAGAGCACTGGTACGATATTCCAGAGGCCGCAGGTTCAAATCTCACTCCAGTCAATTTCTTTGTTCATTGTTATAATCATTCACAAGCACCGAGTCAGTTTCCCTGTATGATTTGTTTCATGGCATAGGTTGAAACTTGGCAGGTATTTTAGAAAGGGAGGTATAATAGCTGAAATTGACCTCATGTGATGATGACAGCATCAACTGACCATGTCACGTGACATTACAAGTACACTTGTCAAAGCAGTATGTCTTGTGAAGAACAACACATCCGATTGGTTTCAAACCTCGCAGATATCTCGAAAGGGGAGGGCTTCAGAAGAACATTAATTGACCTGATGTGTGGATGACACCATCATATGACAAGTCACATGACATTAAAGGTACATTCTTTAAAGTCCAATGTCTCGTGAACCACATGTCTGTTCGGGTTGGAATTAGGAAGACAGCTAGAAGTGTTATAGACAAGGTGGCATGATGTAAAGGATACAAACTTTAATTTGTTATATCTCCTAATGTTCGAAAAGGTTAGAATATTTTGTCATAATGAGGTCAGCAAAATATTATTAGAAACTTTGGGGATGATTTGTAGCTTGTGGATAGATGTTTGAGTAAGAAGTGAGAAATCCAAATCCTGTGTTTTTCAGGGGTTACAGAAAATCCAAAGAAATGTAAATGCAGCTTGAAAACAGAAGCATCTTGTATGTTTCACCAAATTATGAAAAGTTTAAGAACAATGTGCCAAACAAAATTTAGGTCGTGCACTGGTGATATACATGTATCAGAGAAATATTTCAATGATTTCTGTTTTTGACAATTTCATTTAGTTTTGTGTATTTCCTCAAATTAACAATAATGAAAAGGTAATTAGTGCATAATAATTAAATTTTAATTGGATGATTTATTTTGTTTTATAGACTTATAAGTTGCAAATCAAATGGAATTATTAAATGTAACAGTGATGGAAATAGCTGGATTGGCTTTGCATCTTGTGCTAAAAAACGAGACACATGAAACTGATGTGCAATTTTTGCAAATGGAAATTTCTTATAAAATAATGCATGTGGCAAGCTTGCGGCACGGATTGGAAACCTGCCCCGGCCCCTTAAGGCTTCACAGCAAAAATGAAATGTTTAAGAAAACAAACTCACTCGCCACTTTTTGCCCTAGTTTCGTGCAGCACAAGGCCTACGGAGGCCCATAGGACACACCTGTATATAATGTTTACAGTAAAATTGAAAAGTAGTCTTTCTGAAGCTTGTTGGTGCTTCATGTCTTGTATCATTCCTATTCAGTTGCTTATAAAATATGGAAAATTAGCATTTCCATTCAATTTGTATTGCAGGTTCAGATGTTTCTCAGATGCATGAGTTCCTGAAAGATGACCAAGTGATGTATGTCTTAGCACGGCTTGACACCACCTATGATATGTCAACCACTGTTAAGTTTGTCTATGTTCACTGGTGAGTAATTGAGAATTAAGTTATGTTAAGAGATTATTTTGTGTATGAAATAGTATCAAGTTTGTTTCAACGTTGTTTGCTTCATGCCACTATGTATTGAGAAATGTATGTTCTTGTACAGTAGTCTGAGAAAGGTTGTATACTAGTCAGTAATGGGTCAACTTTTTTATGCTCTGCTGTTGAAGTCAACGGTACAGACCTTTTCTGCCTTGTCCTTTTGTGGGTAAATGTGTGCAAGCATGAAATACATTGTGAGGACCTCCACACAAAAGAATTCATCATAATGTTGAGTTAGAAGATGTCCATTGTGAATTTTGGCCACAAAACGAGTCCTGTGTAGTGGGAGATCGAATTTCACGCTCTGAGTACAGTCGTTTTCCAATCTCCAGATCTGCCATCAGCTCAAATAGACCTCAAAGTCCAGTGCAATGTGGTCAGTACCCAGTGAGCAGGAAATACATGTACAAGACTACAATTTCCAAATTGTAAACTTTTAATCTGGACAGAGGTTCGACGACATTAACGACGACACTCTATTTCAAATAAATTCTCTGACTGACCGTATAAAATGTATGCTCATGGGAGGTAATGAACCCAGTTGCCTTTTTAAGGGCTACGGCTTTTGATTGACAATGCCTGACCCAGCATTTCTTTTTATTTATAGACCTAGACCACGCGTGGTTTTATTTTTCCCCGCCCCACTGCGTACTCTTTATTTTTATTCTGTGCAGTCAATCCGCCAAAAATAATCATTCTCCCGATCTTAGCATTTCTTTTTATACAACCAATGATAATTGACAATGTTAAGAGCTTATATATTGTTTGGTTGCTGGTTTCTTGTCTACGTCTTGGCAATAGGTATGTTGACGGTTGGGTATGGAGGATGTCAGTTGATGACTGTGGTTTGATAAGCTAGGAGAGCAGTTTATTCGGTACACAGATGCCAAGCTGCAGTCCTCCGTTTATACACAGTAACAGAAAAACGTTTTGAGACTCGGCCTTCTGTTATGCCAAAAAACCTTGTGCGTGGACAATTGTGACAACTCCGCGATTTTGTTTCACCTGTTGGACAAAATTCAAAGTTTTTTTTCAACAGAAAGCGAAAGCCTTTATTAGTGAAAATTGCCAGCATCAGGTGAGTGTCTGTGATTCTGTCGGCGCACCGCAGCTGCCTACAAGTACCCAGAATGTAGTCATCTGTGAAAGTATTATGCAAATCTGTACCCTTTGTTATGCAGGAACACTAAGTAGGTCAATGGCGCCGACGGTCGGGCAGCCAGGGTGTGCCGACCCCGGGGCGTAGGTCTATTTTAATTTTATTGGAATCCAGTTCCCTAGCCCTTAATTGTTGCACAAGAGTCATGTTCAGTCCTCGAGGTCCTTCTTTATGATTAGCACTTTTGTGCCTCAGAGTTTGTCAGTGTGTGATTGGTTAGCCCAAATTCATTCACTCTGAAATAGTTGGCACTGGCCAACGCCTTTCGCTGCTGTAATGACAACGGCAACTGTCTTCCTTCAGAGGCACAATTTTAAATTCCCAACGACTGCTGGTAATCTGATTGGAGCTTGCCATCCAATCGCAAAGAAATACTTTGTATAAATGTTTGAGGAGATCCACCGGTCACCTATTCGTGGAACCCGTCAGAGAAGTACACACACAGACACAGGAGCTGTCAATTACTGTTTAGAAAGGGGAATTTTTTTTGCCTACTGAATAATTTTTTACTTTTATTTTGATCGGAAAGGCCCTGGGCCGTTAAAAATTTGATGCCCAAATGTTTTTGTGATGTAAATACGCAAATACACGAGAGGGAATTAGAATTCATGTTTATTGTTGGTCAGTTTTTGCATAATTTTTTAGGGAGAAGGGGCGTAGGTTAATTTCAGAATGAAGTCTTTCAATCTTAAAACAAAGACGGGGCATGTATTTCAAAAATCTTGCATGTCTTAGCCTTTTAAATAAGCATTTTTCCCAATACTTAATGACAGCATACCCGTTTTCTGCTGTAGATTTTTGGCGAGCTGCAAAGCAAGTGCAAGCCTATGTAATGCTGATTTTCGGTCTTCTTTCTGTCTGTCGGGCTGTCGGGCCATCCGCCCTCAAATGTTAAAGTGTTTCCTTATAGGTCCAAAGGTGTTAAAATGTGCCATTGAGTGCCTGTTTGCTTTTTCTTGGAATTCCATCAGTATTTAAATCGTCTCATATGGCACTAATGCTTGGAAACTTATGAATTTAATGAAAATTATAAAAGATGAATGTTAACCCTAACCCCTTGGGTGTATGTAAAATCATATTGAAATTGGAGGATTTGTTACTGTTAGGGTTAAAGTTTTGAGTTGTTTTGTGTATTTGCCTTGCATTATATACAGTACATATGGTATGTACTGAACATTTGTGTAATGTACGTCTGTATGTTTAGGTGCACTGATGTTCCCAAACAATCGTGGACGTTAAACAAAAGAATTGATGACCATCCACAATTCCTGATACATCCACGATTGCCAAACGTGTACAAAACATTCCAAAAAGTATGAACAAAAGAGGACAATAGGAACATCCACAATTGCTTAAAAATATGTTTACATGGGTGTACATGTGAGTGTGTAAACGCCTTCAATCGTGGACCTTTAACAATAGGGATAATAAGGTCCACGGTTGCTGAAGAGTCCACGGTTAGAAAACATGTACAAAACATATGGGAGGTCTTCTGCAAAGGTTAAAGTATGAACAAAAGAGGAACAATAAGGAGTCCACGATTGAAGGCGTTTACACACATGTGTGCGTGTATGTATAGACAGTGTTCTGACACATACAAATGTAAATGTACATTATTTGGGGAAAATGCAAAGGATGGGGGGGGACTCCAAGTGAGAGATTAGTATGTTTGTTGGGGGAGGGGTATCTGTAGGAGGAGGATCATGGGGACAAAGTACATGTATGAAGAAAGTGGATGAAATGCTGGATAAGGTTGGTATAATGGTTTGGCTGGATTAGTGGGATGATGGGACAGCCAGAGTAAGAAGTGAAGGGAATAATGGACAGGGGTGGAGTAGGAGATAGATAGGATGATGGGGTTGGATACAAATTGCAGAACTGTACATGTACCCAGTACTTAAGAGGAATTTTAATTATGCACCATCTGTCAAACTTACAAATGCACTGCTTATATAATCATGCAGGTCCCGTCTGACTGTACTAGCTGGACCCAATTTCTATGGGCATTCCTCTCTCCTGTAAAGAACTGTGAAGCCTTTGTACCTGTGTCTCCCTTGGTGGTGCTCTTTGTTGATTTCATTTTAAATGACAGGCGCCTTTCAGCTCACAGTCTGCACACAGCACTGAGTAGGTTTTTTTCTCATAGAGTACAATGAATTGTATTGCTAAGGTTGATAAAATAGCTTGTACATCTGTATTGCAGTCATATGTCAACCAATCTTGTAAAAAATTTTGATGAAGCTTTGTTAGTATTTACTTGTTTGATTTAGTAACCATATTTGTATAACTTGGATGTCTCTTTCCTGTTATTACAAGAAAGAAATTCAAATTCATAACAAGTAATGAGCCATGGCGGCTTTGCCCTTCTAGTTGTGTCTCATGTTTACTATGTTTTTGGTTAAAATTCAATTATCCCGAGTTTACGATCATATCCAGAAACACCCTGTACATCATTTTTTTGTTGACCATGCCAGCAACCTCAAGGTCATAACCCCGGAGCAACTTTGAGAAGTACTTCAAGTGAATTTTTAGACTCAATAGTCTCTAGAAAATGTACATGTTAAAGTGGTGAATAAAGTGGGTATTTTTGTCTCATAGTTTTCTTTTTTATTAGATATCAGGGATGTGATCGCTCTGTTTTTTTCCAGAATTGCATTTTTTTGGGCCTCAAAAGTTGACCCTTGTGAATCACGCGAATCGGTTGAGAAAATCGGGGGTACAATATGCTAATTAAATATTCATATCGCATTTGCATGCATGCCAAAATAAACGGAAGAATAAACTCACACGTCGGACTACCTCGGACGTCTGCATTATATTTACAATATGCACAGTACATGTACATGTATACAATGTACATGTATGTAATGTACACTACTGTGCAACGTACATGTACTTTTATATTCCTCACATGTCCTCATATCTGAGAACGAGGTTTTACAAGACTGGTATTTCACGTGCATTATACATGAGTAAAATGTGAAACCTGGTGCTCGTATTGAGCCCAGCTGCATCGCATGTACGATCACCACTGTGTAAACCGTACGCACACGATTTGACTTCAGACACATGAGAACGATGTCAACACACGCATGCTCCATTGGCTGCAGGCTTCTCCCATAGAGACATGTTCTCGGTGTTGGTGTGCACGTGGGAGTAGTATGGTTCACATTGTTGTATGCGTATATGTACATCCATGTTGCATTCTGGGCTTGATACATGTACTGCTCTATGTAGTCTAGTTCCTGCAGACGTTGAATGCAGTATCAGTAATGTAATTCACTTGTTTGAAGATCACATTAACATAATTTTGCAGTTCATGTACATGTGCACATTCGTAGTATCATACCGTGTGCATGTGTACAGTTGTACACGTGCATACGGGTACATGTACAGTACAAAGTCAGAGCCAACGTGTCGCTCTCCAAGTTCAACAAGAAAATTCTCTCAAAAGGAGACTTGTTAGCAAGAGAGCTAGATAAATATGTCACCAATAACTTTAAATGGAATTGGTTGGAAAAGCATGTCATGGTGGACGGCCTGAAAGTGCAGTTAAGCCAGTGTTTTGTCAAACCAACACTCACAGGAAAAGTACTCTATACTTTCTGCCATGATGATGGGGCTGCATACCCGCGGGTAATAGTAGTTTATTTTACTTTTGCAGTTCCAGACCCTCATAACTGTTATTTGTCTTGTTATGTATTCAGATTTTTCTGAACTTTGCTTTGTTTGTTCTCGTGATGGTCAAATAAATAATAATAATAATAACATCAAGTATGCGGCC